GCCTCTGTCACCACCTGTGTTAGTTTCTGAAGAGTTGCCCCCATAAAGGATCAAAAGCGGCAAGTGCCCCTGGAATGTGGGAGGTGCCCCTCCGAGGACCCGCACGCCTCTCCTGGCTCCGTCGTCCTCTTGTGCCAGGCTTGGTTCCACCTTGGGCTGCACGCTGCCTTCCCTGTCTGTGCCGACGTCCCTTGGGTCACACCCCAGTCACACCAGGCCAGAGCCCGCCCGACGCCCTCATTTTAACTTGATCGCCTCCTCAACGCCCTCTTTCCAGACACCATCCATCGAGGTAGTGGGGGTAGAGTTTCAGCAGAGCATATTTTCGGGGCGGACAGAATTCCACCCGTACTACTGCATTCTTTGGCTGTCACCCTCCAAACCCTCTTTCCCCACGCTAAGCAACCTTTCTTATTTTTTATGTTTTGCAGTACTGGAGGCAAAGCCAAAGGCTTTTGCACTGAGCTACATCCCTAGCACTTTCATTTTTGATACAGATTCTGCTAAGTCACTAAGTTGCCCAGGCTGGGGTCAAAATTTGCAATCCTCCTGCCTCAGCTTCCCAATGCTGGGATTTTAGGCCCCCTCCATGATGCCCAGCTCTGCTTTCTGATAGATTTCCCTAAATTTTCAAGAGTGGACCACATGTAGTCCTTTGTTACTGGCTTCTTTGACTCTGTATGATTTTGTTCGAGGTTCGCCCATGTTTGTAACACGTTTCAGAACACCATTCCTTTTTATGGCTAAGTAGCATTCTATTATCTGCACATTGATGGACATGGGTTGTTTCCACTTTTGGACTATTGTGAGTAGCGTTCCTATGAACACTCACGCTTACATCTCCATGAGGACATGTTTTCATGTCTCTCAGGTGTACACCCAGGAACTGAATTGCTGGGTCGTATGTTTAGTTACTTTAGAAACTGCCAGATTTTTTCCAAAATGGTCAAACTGCTTCACACCCCCGCCAGCAGGAGGCGAAGGCTGTTACTGCACATTCCGGCCAGCACTTCCGACGGCTGGACTTTTTGTCACAGCCGCCCCGTGGGTAGCACAGAGCAGCTCACTGGGGTTCTGATCGGCATTTTCCAGATGGCAAACGATGCCGCACGCTTTCTGGTGCAACTGGACATTTCTGTCTCCTTTGGGGAAAAGACTGAATATCTTTTGGCTATCCTTAAATTTTTGAGTGGTAAGGGTCCTTTATGTATTCCAGCGATAAATCTTGAGATATATGACTTGCAAATATTTTACCTCATTATGCTGGTTAGCTTTCTCCTTTCTTCAAATCAGAAAATGTGACCATTCTGCTGGAAGCCCAACTTGTCCGTTTTTTTGTTGCTCAGACCTCTAGTGTCACACCAAGGAGTCCTGTGTCAAACCTGAAGGCACAAAGATTTAGTCTATTTCCTTCTAGTGTAGTTTGTGTCCTTTTTACTTAGGTCTTTGGTCAATTTGGGCTTAATTTTTGTTCACGGTGTAAGGATCCAAGTTAATTACCCATGTGGTTAATTTGATGTTTCAGCAGCATTTGTTGAAGACTGACTTCCCCAAGTCTCGGCATAGTCAATCGTTTATGTTCCAGCTCTCGATTCTCGTTTACTTCCATGCCTCTGTGTGTGTGTGCGCACCAGCATCACTGTCTGCATTATGTTGCTTTCTTGTAAGTTCTGAAACTGGGAGATGTGAGTTCTCCTGCCCCGCACCTTGGAATTCTGGGTATTCTGCTCGCTGTAGGGTCACAGGACATGCAAAGCCAGCTCTTCACATGTACAAGACCCTGCTGACAGCTGCACTGGGGTCTGGAGGTGTCTGTGCAGCGCTGCCATCTTAACATTAACTCTTCCAGCTCACCATCATGAGATGTCTGTTCATTTACTCTTTAATTCCCACCAAAAGTGTTATCAGAGTGTAAGATTTTTGCACTCCTTGTGCTCATAAGTATTTTATTCTTTTTGATGCTATTAATTTCACTTTAGATTTTCACGGAATCATACAGAAATGTAACTGATTTTTGTATATTTATCTTGTATCCTGCTACCTTGATAAGCCCATTTGTTAATTCTAAGTTTCAGTGGTGGCTGGCTTAAGGTTTTCTATGCAAAAGGCCGTGTCGTATGAAAGCACACGTGGTTCCACTTCTTCCTTGCTGGGGTTGAGGCCCTGGCTGGACCCTCCTGTGCAACGCGTCCTACAAATGAAGCAGCGGTCGTCTCACTTCTGACGGTCCAGGGAAGGTGTTTAGCGCCCCACCAGGAAGTGAGGCACCAGCGTGGGGTTTCCGCAGGTGCCCTTCACAAGGCTGAGAAACTGTTTAATGAAAGGGAATGCATTTTCTTAAATGTCTGTTCTGCATCTGTGGATATTATTATATATTATTATGTATATTATTATTATTATTATACTGATATGACATACTGATTTGTATACTTTTTAACAGTAGCACTATAAAAATGAGACAATCAACTGTTTTACTAACAAGTATCACGTGACTTGCATAGATGGAAATTAGTCCCATCTATGTAAGTAACTAAATCATGGAGCTAAAAGTATAAAAACAATTCAGAACACAGCCGGTGTGGTGGTGCACACCTGGAACCCCAGCACTCTGGAAGGCTGATGGAGGAGGATTCCAAGTTTGAACCCAGCAACTTGAGATCCTGTCTCAAAAAAGGCCAGGGAGGCTGCGGCTTGGCATGAAAGCCTTAGGCTAAATCCCCAGCGCTACCAAACACCAAACCAAACCAAAATTTATCTTCCTTGGCATTTATATTTCAACAACAACTTATTTTTTTTGAGACAAGGTCTCACCATGTTCAAGGCTGGCCCTGAACTCGAGGTGATCCTCCTGCCTCAGCCTTCCAACGGCTGGGATTACAGGTGTGTGCCACCACGTCCAGCTTGGCATTAATGTTCAACAATTATTAAGAACTGATTTTGTTTAAGATAATCTGCAATGCTGTATGGATCACAAATATTAGTATTTAGAATTTAAAAATTCCCATACAGAAACAAAGACTGAGGACAGTAGATTATTTTTACTATGGACAGTGCCGAATGTGTACGTGGAAACTGATGAGTACAATGAGCCAAAGGCCATCACCACAAACACCTGCAGGGTATCACTTTTCCTCGTAAGAAAAATACCAGGCTGCCTTTTTTGTCACTGGTGATACACTTCAGGTTACATCACATGAAACAGGATGAATGGTCGAGGCATGTTTTTGCCAGTTACACTCTTGTACAGTAGAAACCTAGAAATGAATCATGGAAAATTTTTCAACTTTAATAGTAAAGAAAGGGCTGGGGATTTAGCTCAGCGGCAGAGCGCCTGCCTGGCAAGCGCAAGGTCGTGAGTTCAGTCCCCGGTACCGGAGAAAAACCAAAAGAAAAAAAAAAAAAAAAGTAAAGAAAAACGTCCCCCCAAAAATATGCTGGTTGTGGTGGCACATCTGTAATCCCAGCACTCGGGAGGCTGAGACAGGAGGACCACTGAGTTCAAGGCCAGCCTGGGCTACACAGTGAGTTCCAGGCCTACCCCCCAGTCCTTGTGGTCTAACATGGACATCAACATTTGATCAAATGTAGAAAACGGTAATGCTTTCAATATGTTGAGAAAGACCTTCCAAAAAACCTGGAAATACAGGAAAAACTTTTGTGTGATTGAGAACCGTTAATGTGATTTTTAAATTTTATTTTTCTGTGGCACTGGGTTGGACCTAGGGCCTGTGCACTGAGCTACATCTCCAGCTTTTTTCTTTTCTCTTTTCGACTCACTGTGCAGTTCAGGCTGGGCTTGAGATCACTTTGTAGGCCAGGCTGGTCTTGAACTTGCAACGATCCTGCTGCCTCAGCCTCCCGAGTGCTGGGATTACAGGCGTGTGCCACCATGCCTAGCCCTCCAAGCCTTATTTTAGTTGCAAACTGTATTTCACTAAATCAGTGGGTTGTCCTGGATAGGCTGGAACTTGGGATCCTCCTGCCTCAGCCTTTCAGAGTGACAGGATGACAGATGTGCACCCCATTCGTATTTTCTTTTGCGGTGCTGGGCACAGAACTGGGCCTTGCACACACGAGGCAAGTGATCTACTACTAAGCCACATCCCAGCCCAACGTACGTTTCTGAGTCAGGGTCTCACTTTGTAGTTCAGGCTGGCCTTGAGTACAGGTGTGTGCCACCATACCTGGCTTACCATTTTTTTTTGTCTTTTTGAGGCAGGGTTGCACTATGACAGGGTTCACGCTGGCCTTGAGCTCCCAACGATCCTCCTGCCTCAGCCTCCCGAGTGCTGGGATTACAGGCATGCGCTACCTCGCCCGGCCACCATGTTAATTTAAAACAATTTTTCTTTGAAAACAAGGCCTTGACCATTTATCTAGGTTGGTCTTGAACTCCTGGCTTCAAATGATCTCCGTTCTTGGCCTCTTGAACGCTGGGACTACAGGTGTGTGTCACTGTACCTGGCAAAGTAATTTTCAGAGGGTGGGGGAAAAAACTGCACAAAGATGGGCATAAATACTAAATTATTATTTTGTTGACAGAATGACTTCTTTTCCACTGTTATGCAGATGAAAAAATTTGTAGACACAGGTTCAATGCTAGGCATTAATCCTTTCAAATAAAAATTGACGTTTGTCAAACACGTTTCTTACAGAAATTTAAAAATTATAAAAGACAGCTTGTTTTTAGATAGTCTTGACGTCTTGGACTGGAGACAGCTCCTTCTGCATATGAACTATAAAATCTATCTACTCCCACGTAATCTTTTTCATGTGGATTAAACACGCTTCCAAGCGCAACCTACGAAGTGACTGCCCGACCTTTCCATCTCCCCGAGCACAGCGCCAGGCCCAGCGCCGCGGCCGCCCCGCTGCCCGCCCTGGCCGCTTTGCTTCTCCAGCGGCACCGCTCTGCAGGAGCTCGCTCTCAGGATGCGTTCCCCCCGTGATCACTGGTTACAGCCCACCGAGGCTGTAACCAAAGAACAACACTCATCTGCTCACGTACAAGAAACAATCCCGTTTATTAACCTAGCCGTGTTTTCAGAAAGGGTTAAAGAACATGTATTCCTGGGACACAAAGCTGAACCAAAGGGCTCCTTACACAAGGGCTGGCAGTCCTGACCGTACAGACGCGCACCAACGCACAGGAACTTGAACGAACACACGGTCCAGACGTTTCTGCGACAACTTTCTACCAAACTCTTATTGCATTAATGTGAGTTTCCTTTAATCTCTTAAAAATAGTAATAAAAAATTACAAAATAATGTAAATGTAGAATTAAACCTGAGACTATATAATCTAGTATTAATAAAGTCAGACGATACTTATAAAAATTGATGCTGCTGTATTGTATTATACACAGGATGAATCTCTGAGATCCGCAGTGCGACCTGTCACGCGTCGTCTCCCCAGTGCAGGTCCTCTGTCTTCCCATCGCACTCCCAGGCACCTGTGCTCTTCCCCGCTTTTCATCCTGATTCTTCACTGAATGTCTTCACCTATTTACATTAAATATCTAGTCTCTAGAACTTTCCTCACACAAAAGAACCAACATCTTTGTTAAATAAACTCACACAAAAGTAATAAAAAGTTTTAAGAAATGTTTCTAACATACAATTATACTGAAAAATAATACATATGCTTCCTTCAGGGCCACTCACGGCGGCATGGCAGCTCCACGAGCGCCTTTCCGTGGAGCCCCTGAAGATGAGAGCCCAAGGGCCGGGCCCGGGGCCGGTGCAGCTGCTCCGCACTGTCCTGAGTCCTCCGGGGAGCTGCCTCCAGGCCCGCCTGCATCCGCGCAGCTCACAGCTCCCGCCAGACACTCGGTCGGTGTCCAGAAGCACTCAGTTTGCTAAGTCACCTTTCGGTCTTCTGAAAAAGAGATGCAGGGGCAAGGCACTTTTAGTGAGGGCAGCCTCACGGTCACCTCTTACGGGTCTGTCTGAGTTACAACCCTGGTCAAGGTGGAGAAAAGAGGGCCAGGGATATAGCTCAGCGGCACAAGTGCTTGCCTGGCAAGCCTGAGGTCATGAGTTCCACTCCCGAGAGCAAAAAAAAGTGGAGAAAAGAGAATGCAGTGAGTTTTATGAAGCCAAGCTCCCCTTTGCTAAATCTCTTCAACAGCCCTGGGTGCCTAACTGTGTTCTACCAAGCGGGACTTGCAATGTAAATGACTGACTGGACCCTTATTTAGGGGCTGGGGATATAGCTCAGCGGCACAAGTGCCCACCTAGCAAATGCAAGGTCCTGAGTTCCATCCCTGGTACTGCAAAACAAAAACAAAAACACCTTATTTGCAGGCATTTCCTTATCACAGGCGTGCAAGAAAGAGCAGCAGTGACTGCGTGGGACGCACTTGCACACACCTGCAATGGAAGGGGTCTGGAGCGGATGACCTCAGACCCAAAGTCTACGGATCTTACTGCCTTTCCTCCTTCCTTTGAATGAAATTAGAAAGAACCAAATTTTTTTTTTCTGTCTTTTTGAGGCAGGGTCTCCCTAAGCAGTTCAGGCTGGTCTTGAACTTGCAACAAACCTCCTGCCTCAGCCTCTTGAGTGCTGGGATTACAGGCGAGCGCCACCACGCCTAGCATGAATT